CGACAGTGGCTTGCATATCTTAGAAGTTAATGCCACCCGCTTGCATATCTTATCATTCACTTCGCTCAGCTCCAGCGGCTTCACGCATGTGCCCAGCCCTAAACTCTCAACCCCTTGGCGGTACTCACACATTACAGCTCCAAGACGGCCACCCAGTGTGCGGGCAGGAGCCATTTGCTTTACAGCGTCCAGCTCTTATCCCACGTACAAGGAAAAGGCTGCGGGAAACGCCCTGATTAGCTTCGAAATCCGCAGCCCCATGAGTATTACTACTTACAGTGACAGACCCTGCACCCTGACTTAAACATCAACGTTTTTATACTTCCGACACAAGTAGATTACTCAGAAGACTATTTGGCAAGTGTACGTATACTTTCGATAAATTCCCCTCAGGTCAATACATTTATATGAAAGGGTTAAATTTAAGCAAGCGATCGGTCATGTTCGTCTTTTCTTACAAGCGGGAGACAATCAGGGCGTGGATTAGTGCATGCCGCTAAGTGATTGCGGGCTACGCCAGATGTGGAGTCTGCACGAAATTCTTTTGCGCACACAAGGCCAGTTTCATCAACCTGATAGTCATCGCTTCTGCAGTCGTTAGCAGACGCTTACCCAGGGACTTTGCATAATTCGGTAGATTAGCTACCATTAAAACTTCCTGACTTATTTGCCCGTATAAACAAGCTGTCAGAATGTTACTTTTATTGGAATTTGTCATGGGGCCGCCTGAATGCGACACATGGTTTTAGGAGATAGGAAGGTTGAGGTATGTCAGGGAACAAATCAGTTCGTAATGATTCTGCAAATTAAAAAAAAGTTACGAGGGTAAGTTGAAGGATGTGCCCCGACCTCGGGCGGGGACACTGCAGTACATTTTTAATATAATCGCTAACCCCTACTGGACCAACAGCGAGCGCGTGTATGTCGGGACGGGGTGTTCGCTGGTCTCGGTCGAGGTCATTGGGGTACTTGTTTAGCAGTATCGCTAACCCCAAGTAGAATAAAGGTGAATGAGTATGGAATTCGTTATAATTTGGAAATTCACTCTACTTAAAATTTGTAAGTAAGCGGTTATTCCCATGTTTAATTTGAAAAGTCGTTTTACTTAATATACTGACTAATATACTTCGCAGTTCAATGTCATCATCCAATCCCTGCTGAAACAACGACCAGAGTGCTAAAAACGGAAAGATTGTGTGAAATGCAACCTACTTACAATTTGTAAGTAGGTTGGTATAATACATATGCTAGTTGAGGGTTCGACTTCATCGCTTCTAAAGTCAAGTTGCAAATGAACCTCCCACGATTACTGCGGCTTTGTCTGTCGACTTGTTTGAGCTCCGGCCTCTTGTAGATGACCTGCTGTGTCCATAGTTGGGTCAGGGTAGAAATGCAAGTTTGCCTAAACATCTGTTGAGTCTCGTAGTCGTCTAGTGTAACCTACATTCAATGCTCGGGTCAGTTAAGTGCCGGAGAATACCACCACGGCCGCCTATTTCTTCACAAGTAGGAAATCTACGCTTCATTTGTCTAACATCTCAAGTGAATTCAAGTTTATTAAAGGAAATATGGGCAGGCGCCTTTGAACTCCCTCTTGGTACATAGTAGTTAAGAAATGCATCGGCACAGCCGAAATTTTCAAGAAAGGTCGTTTACATAATTGTAGGCGATTGCTCGCTTGTTTTAAGTAATGCACTCGCATGTGGTGATGTCAATTAAGACGAGCCAGCAGGTGTAACTTCGCAAAAAGAGCAGACAGTGAAAAAAAAACTCGTAAGGCGTGGCTAATAATTCAAAATGGAATATCATTCTTGTTTTTTTCTTGTTTTGCATTCCAGTCTCAAATTAATGCAGTCCCACATGGCAGCCAGACGGGCCCAAGGCCGCCGAGGCAATTTCGACAGTTCGCGGTCCAGCGTTGCGCCGGTGGTTGATTTACAGCGTCGGTCTGGCGAGGGCACCTATCGGTGAGTCCAATTTTGTCTTCCTTACGCTCTTGAATCAGTCCAATGCTGCTCAGTTTATTTGAGGGAAAAGTAGATGTAGCGTAAAATCGATCCAAGTGTGATTAAATTCACGGCACACGATGAGCCTTGTAGCTCAGTGGTAGAGCTTAGGCTGTGCAAAAGCCTTCCCTGCTTTGTGGATTTGACTCCCACTGAGGCCGCGAGTTTTTTTTCACATTTGGGTCAGCAAAATTAAGCGAATCTCCCAAACTCCCCTGACAATTAATTGAGCCTAGTAGTCATTCTGGTGGATTCTAGATGATTGCTTGAAAAAATCCTGTCTGGGCATTCAGCTTGCTGTTCTGTAATGATTGATTCCATACAAGTAGTAAATTGGACGAGTAAAGTCGATCCAAGTATGATTAAATTCACGGCGCACGGTGAGCCTTGTAGCCCAGTGGTGGGGCTTTGGCTGTGTAAAAGTCTTCCATGCTGTGTGGGTTCGACTCCCACCGAGACCGCGAGTTTTTTTTCACAATTGGATCAACTGAAATGTAGGCGCGCACCTTTGAACTCCTCATTTGAATGTTGTGATATCAAAACACTAGTACCTCCGCTTATTGACGATGCCAAATTACACGAGCCAATGACGTGAAAAAAAGAGTAGACACTTTAAAAAATCTCCTTGGGACTTTTTAAGAGAAAAAAACTGTTGCTCATGGGAGGTCAGTACGCTAGGTTGAAACGGGGAGGTCATTATCGAAGTGTGAAAAGATGCCGCCAAGGTTATGAATGTGAACCGTTATTTAGATGCGTGGTGTTGTTAATTTTGTCACGCCAGGTGGTATTTTTGGGTATGGGATGATTTTTACCCTTGAGGACGCCGCTCTGTACGCTGGTACTAGCTAGGCACATGTAAACCGCCAATCTCCCTATACATCTTACCTCCAGCCAATCGGTTTGGTTTCTTCGGAGCTATACTGGCGCTCCGTTGAGGATTATTACTGGTGTTGCTACAGCCACCGAACTTTCTACTTTAAAAACTTACCATGGTGACGAGATAGTATTATACTTTTGTTCGCAGGCTTACGTTTCTTTACTAGTTGTCTACGCCGTGTCGTCTTGGCTTCTGATTCTTCTCATCGACTTCCACTGTTACTCACCATTGCCCCCCACCCCTACCCCCTGTTTAACTCCACCAGGTTTAACCAGATGACCGGCAAAATGGAACGAGTCCCCTATCCCCCTCGCTCCACCGCTTCATCTGCTGGCACCGCTCTGCCTCTCGGTGAACCGAGTCTGCCTCTTGGGGTCGCGGACGAGTACAACCCCCTCATTCCGAACGACTACGAGGAGCTGGCTCGCCAGCGCCGTGAAAAACGGAAGGCCGACGTA